TGCTTGCTACCTCTGCTTGGCCATCATAGATGCTAACCTGGAACCAGAAGCCCAAATAAACTCTTCCTTTCATAAGTTGCCTTGATTGTGGTGTTTTATCACAGCAATGGAAAAGTAACTGAGATACTTAGTGTATTATGCCAGTGAACTGATACTGAACGCATGGGCAGTGTAACATATGGCCTTTGTGTGCTTAGGGACTAAAGCATTAGCAGATTTTGTTTGTTTTTTTTATTTTTTATTTTTCAAGGCAGAGTTTCTCTGTGTCTTTGGAGGAACTAGCTCTTGTAGACCAGGTTGGTCTCGAACTTAAGATATCCACCTGCTTCTGCCTCCCGAGTGCTGGGGTTAAAGGCGTGGCATGTAGGTGCCGTATTAGTTACTTTGCTGAGATAAAATACTGTGAACAAAGGCAACTTAAAGATTGGGCCCGGGGTCCACAGTGTCAGGGAAGACGTGGCATGGTGACAGGAGCAAAGACTTAGCTTTATCCATACAGGAGGCAGAGAGTGAGGCTGTGAGCCATCAATGCCCGCCCCACCGTGGTACACTTCCTCCAGCAAGGCTGGATGTCCTAAAAACATGTTCCCCAACCTCCCCAAACAGCACCACCAGCTGCTGGGGACCAAGTGTTCAATAATGAGCCTGTGGGGGCTACTGCTCATTCAGATCACCACAGGTGGAGAGGTGGGCGGTTCAGAAATCAAACCCTCTTGGATACCAAAGGACCAACTGTACTGATTTGGGAGTTAAAAATAAGTTTTAAGGCAACTGTGGTGGTACATGCCTTTAAAGCTGGCACCTGTGGGTGAAACCGCAGGGTATTAGGAGTTCATGGTCATCCTCAGCTATATCGTGAGTTTGAGACTAGTCCCAGCCTCGAGAACCCCAACCTGGAAAAAAAAATAATCAAAGCAGGATGTGGCAGCAGCATCTGTGACCCTGGTACTTGTGGAACATGAAGCCTTGCAAATTCCAGGCCAGCCAGGCCTACATAGCCAGAGCCTGTCTGTAAAGAAATAAATGATAAAAATGTTACCATGTCCTCCAGCGTGTGTCCAGAAACCTGGCTTATACACTTCTTCCAGGCGGAGGTAGTTAGAGTCAGTTTTAAAAATGGAATTGCTAGCTAGGCATGATACTGCATGCTTTTCTAATCCCAGCATTCAGAGGCAACAGGCATAAGTTCGAGACTAGCCTGGGCTACATAGCAAGACCCTGCCTCAAATGAAGTAAGATTTAAATAAGACGTTTCTATGTATTTTGTTTAAAGTTTTTTTTTATATGCACATATTTATTTTGTGTGGGCCAGGGCACAACACACATGTAGAGGTCAGAGGACAACTTGCAAGAGTCAATTTCTCTCTCCACCACGTTGAGTCCAGGGGTCATTGCTGGTCATCAGGTCATCAGGCTTGGTGGCAAGTGCCTTTACCTGCTGAACTATCTCACAAGCCATTGATGTTCATTGGTGTTTTTCCTGTATGTATGTCTGTATGAATGCGTCAGATCCCCTGTAACTGGAGCTGCTGACAGCTGTGAGCTGCTGTGTGGGTGCTGGGAATTGAACCTGGGTCCTCTGGAAGAGCAGAGGTGCTTTTAACTCTTGAGCCATCTCTCCAGCTCTTGTTTTTACTCATTTTAAAGGATTTTTTTTAACTGTAGGATTTCTATTTATCTTGTGTGTATATTTGGGTGTACATTTGTACACCGTATGCATGCAGGTACCCCTGGAGGCCAGAAGAGGGCATTACATCCCCTGCTAGGCAGCAAGTGCCTAGTTTTGCTTTTGGAGCTCAGGCTGTCTCAGACCCTCAAGTGCTGGGATTGCAGGCCTAGACCACTATATCTGGCTCTTCTGCTCTTCCACATGTTTTAGTTTGTTTTGGAGGAGAATCCTAATCCCCATAAGTATTGGACTCTTTTGTTTGTTTGTTTGTTTGTTTGTTTGTTTGAAGGTGCGAGAGCCACCATCGCCTGGCTTGGACATTTTTCAATGAGTGAGTGGGAGCACTTTCTTGTCTTGAGAGGTTTATGCTTCCAACTCTCAGAGTTGGTCTGTCTGTTCTGGGGTCTCCTGGGGATGCTGAGGCTCTGGGTATCTCTGATGGTTTTAGATGAACGCAGCATTTTTAAAAATTTTTTTATTTTATATATGTTAAATAATTTAACTTTACGTGCATTGGTGTGAAGGTATTAGGTCCTCTGGAACTGGAGTTACAGACAGTTGTGAGCTGACATGTTGCTGGGAATTGAACTCAGGGCTCGTAACCACTGACTTGTGTAACCAGGCCTTAGCTCTACACACTGGAAGCAGAGCTGAGGGTGAGGTTGTGCTGGCCTTAGTGGGGTCATGAGAATTTTGGCAGCAGAGCTCACGTCTAAGGAGTGTAGCTCGCTTACTAAGAAATCATACTCTTGGTGCTGGAGAGATGACTCAGCAGTTCAGAGCGATGTCTCAGCAGTTTGGAGCACTGTGTGCTCTTCAGAGGACCCAGCTTGGATTCCTAGCACCCATATGGTGGCTCACAACCATCTGTAACTCCAGTTCCCCTTCTGGCCCCTTTGGCCACTGTACCCATGTGCACAGAGAAAACACTCATACACATACAAATAAATAATAAATCTTTGTTAAAATAATTGGAAGCCAATCTTGGAGAATCATTTTGCTCCTTGAGACAAGATCTTCCTTTGTAGTGTTTGATTGCCTGTCCCTACCCCCTTTCTTATCCTTTGAGTGCTGGGATAGCTGGGTTCACTTGCTGTTTCTTCTCTTAAGAGACAAGCTGACTGTGTTCCCTAGACTGGTCCTCCTGCCTCGTCCTATTGGCAGCTGAGACCATAGACACACACTACCGTGTCTGGTAAACTGGGCTGGGTTTAGTTATTTTAAAGTAGATGAGGTAAATAAGCAAATACTTTTCTTTTTGTTTTTCCCAGTGTAGTTTTTGTCCCAGTATACTTGTAGGGTGTCTGTTTGCTAAAGCCCCTAGTAAATGCCATGTTAGAGTCAGAGGGCCCATCATCCTTGCCCTCCACAGGTCTCGGTTGCCCCATGTGTAATGAGGGTATTGGACTGAACGGGCTTTGTTTTGTTTTGTTTTTGAGACAGGGTTTCTTTGTGTAGCCTTGGCTGTCCTGGAGCTCGCCCTGAAATAGATCTGCCTACCTCTGCCTTTTGAGTGCTGGGATTAAAGGCACGCACCACCATCACCACCTGGCTATAAAAATTTTTTTTCCCGAGACAGGGTTTCTCTGTATTGTTTTGGACCCTGTCCTGGAACTCGCTCGGTAGACCAAGATGGTCTTGAACTCACAGAGATCCACCTGCCTCTGCCTCCCGAGTGCTGGGATTAAAGGTGTGCGCCACCAATGCCTGGCTATAAATGGGCTTTTTAAAAACTCTGTGTGTGTGTGTGTGTGTGTGTGTGTGTGTGTGTGTGTATATGTGTGAGTAAGAGAGAGAGAGGGAGAGGGAGAGGGGGAGGGGGAGGGAGAGGGAGAGGGAGAGAGAGAGGAGAGAATGGGCTTTTTAAAGCCCTCCTTTATGTGTCATTTTAATGGCTGTGTCCCTAATGGGACCATTGGTCATAGCCTTATTGATTGCCCTGGGTATTGTACCTAGAGTAGTGGGAGAGAGAAAGTAAGAGCATTTATCTGTTGAAGGTAACAATTTAATCTCCGCTCATCCATCCCAGCTAGGTGTTGTTCTTTTTTTTTTTTTTTTTTTTTGGTTTTACGAGACAGGGTTTCTCTGTATTGTTTTGGAGACTGTCGGTCCAGCCCGGCCTGGAACTCACAGAGATCCGCCTGCCTCTGCCTCCCGAGTGCTGGGATTAAAGGCGTGCGCCACCACCACCCGGCTGTTGTTATAATTTTATAGATGAGAAAATTGAGAAATTCAGGGAGTTAAGTAATTTGCTTATCGTCACACCAAGGGCTAATTGTAACATTCAGAATTCCTCCTGGGTTGCCAGTTTGTGCTCAGCTCATCCCCTGTTAAGTCTGTCTGTGCAACTGCGGTGGGCATCTGAAAAATAGATGCTCCACATCAAAAATCCTGATTTTAAAATGAAATTCACTCCGACTTTCTCCCGCCCTCTTCCCTCCCTCCCTCCCTCTCCTTTCCTCCCTCTCTCTCTCTCTCTCCCCCTCTCCTCTCTCTCTCTCTCATCTCTTTTCTTATGCTCAGGTTGTGAATGCTGCACAGGCCCTTTATATCTCCATAGCCACTGCTTCCACTACAGTGTCCTCTTGGGGGCGCTGCTCAGCACAGGCTGGGTGAGGCTGGGCTGCTGCCAGCAGCTGCAGGGAATGGCGGTGGGCGGGGCGGGAGGAGAGAGAGAGAGGCAGAACTGGATCTCTGGTTGCCTGCCTGTCACACAGGATAGAGACCTACCCGTAAGGTCCCATCTACACAGAGAAAGTTGACTGCCTCTCTCTACTAGCAGGTGACACTGTGCAAACTGGCCTTTCTGAGCCTGTGAAGATTCATTTTCTGGTTTCCCAGCAATTCCTGGGGACACTTGGCGCTGGGCTGGAGCCCCTAGGAGTCAATGAAAAAGGCAAGAGCTGCCTTTCTGTAGTACATATTGCAGTGAGGTCCACAATGTCAAGAACCTCCCTGGTGAAGGTTTTTTTTATATTTATGTGCATTGGTATTTTGCATATATATACATATATCTGTGTGGGGGTGTCAGAAGGCCTGGAACTAGAGTTATAAGCAGGTATGTGCTGCCGTGTCTGTGCTGGGAATTGAACCCAGTCCTCTGGAAGGGCAACCAGCAACCAGTGCTCTTTTTTTTCTTTTTGTTTTTGTAGACAGGGTTTCTCTGAGTAGCTTTAGAGCCTGGCCTCGAACTCACAGAGATCTGCCTGCCTCTACCTCCTGAGTGCTGTGCATCACCAACACCTGGCCCAGCCAGTGCTCTTAACCTCTGAGCCACCCCCCTCACCCCCCAACCCCCCTCACCCCCCAACCCCCCCCGTGAGGTTTTGAAGAGAATGTGAATCAACCACCTGGCCCTGCTGCTCTGGGTTTTCCTTCCAGAGATGAGTAGTTGGTTCCTGCAGGTCAGTGACGTAACGGATAACATGCAGCTGCAGGCGTGGAGGTATGTTCAGATAGAGACGAAGGAGCGGGTACTGTAGGCAGCATTCATTAGTGGGCCTTGGGATACAGGTGGCCGATGTCGCCCTGGGTAAGGACAGGACTCCTCATTCATGAGGGGCTGCCAATGTCCACACAGTTCCAACCCAGTGCTTGGCCCTGCTAGGAGTCCAGGAGGTGGTATTTCTTCCCCTCAACCGTTCACCTTTTGTAGAAGAAATTTTACACCTTAGGAATTGTCAAGGAGGGCCTGAGAGACTGAGGAAGATAGTGGGAAGTTTAAAAAACGATTTCAAAGTGGGTTCTCTGTTAAAAGCAGTAATGATTGTTTTTGAGCAACGTATAAACGTGTAACTGGGAAAGTGACATTCTTCCCATCTCTCCCACTGTTAGAGATTTGGACTGCTTGGGTGCACAGAAGAGGGCCTGAGAACCCCTGGAACTGCAGTCGCAGGCGATTGTAAGCGGTCATGTGGGTGGGTGCTGGGAACCAAACCCCTGTTCTCTAGAAGGGCAGCAAGTGCTCCTCATCACCAATCCATCGCCAGTGCCAACTCTGTACCCCAACCCTAATGCCAGCAGGTTGATATTTGGAAGTGTCATGGCAATTTGTGATGTCTCCAGCAGTGCCAGCCTGTGATTTCCTTGCCCACACTGGGCGTTTCTCTCAGCTTCCAGCTCCCTCAGCAGTAAACTGTTCATTTTTCACTCGCAGGCCTTTGATTGGCAAGATGTGTTTTAATCTACTGTGATGGTTTGGTTGCCGTCAGTGTTGTTTTCCACCTTTGAGCCATGTGTTACATGCGTCAAGTGAGAGGCTTGTGGGTGGCGGAAAGCTCCCCACGTGTACACGGTGGGCTGTATAGTGTCCTCTGAGTGCCACTGAGTGGGAATTAGAGCTGCCTCATTAGTGGGAATAAAGGCTGGAAGCAAGTGCTGTGGGCTTGTCTGAAGTCTCCAGAGTCCTCTGTGATTTCTGTGGCATCATCCACTTTCAACTGTTTTGTGAATTCAGTTGAAATTTGATCCATTACAGTATGACCAAGGGCCTAATTAGCTGGAAACCTCAGGAAATTCATAAATTAAAGAGCCCATTAGTCACAGTGCCCTCCCCTTGTGAGTGACTCTCACCCCCTTCATTTTGCCTGACTCTCCTGCCACACGTTAGTTCCAACAAGACTTGGCTAGACTGGCCGCCTTTCTGATGTGCTTCCTGCCTTGCTGGGATGGGGAAGGGTTAAAAAGCCAGGCTTAGTTCCTGTCCAGCTCTTGGGCTCCATCCCATCCCTCAGCCTATACCTCACCAGTCTCCAGGTACTTAGGCTGAATGCTGGTGGCAGTCCTGGAGAGGGCCCTGTTGGCACGAGTGTGGCAGCCCTCCACAGTGCCTCTCTGTCCCATGGCCTGGAGGAAGGGTGCCACGTGCCAGTGTACCCACTGCTGAAGTCGTGCTGAGGCTCCGCCTTGGCGGCCTTCCTTCTCCCAGTAGGATTTCTGTGGTTTTGTCTTGGCTCGTGGATTCCCCGGATCTGAGTGGTTGTGGCCACAGATTCCTCTCTTCCCTTTCCCCAAATAGACCACGTGCATCTACCAAGTGGAACAGTCTGAGGGTTCACGTGGCCAGACAGTCCAAAACGAACTCTGCACAAGAGTCTTGTAGGAGGGAGGGGTGGTTCTGCAGCCTGGCCGTGGAGTGGATTTGTAGATTAAGAGTACCTGTGGTAAAGAACCTAAGACAAGAGTTTTAATAACCTCCCTCCCCCTTCCCTCTCTCCCGCCCTTTCTTCCTGGGATCGAACCCAGGGCCTTGTGCTAGGCAGGTACTCTACCACTGAGCTATGAGGCCACTGTTGTTGGGAAGATATTTCTGCATGCCAATCTGTATGAAACCAGAGAGGTGGTGTTTTAGGTTTGTTTTTGTTTTTAAGTTCCAAGTAGAACAGCTGGCCATGCCTTGGTTTTACATCTGGTCTTCTGAGGGTTTTATTAATATCCAGAGAGTTCGTGTTTTGTTTTTAACATGCATTTGGGGCTGGAAAGATGATTCAGTGGGTAGAGGAGAGGCACTTGCTGAGCAAGCCCTACCACGTAAAGATCCATTCCCAGAACCCATGTAAGGGTCAGGGGAGAGAACGGGTACCGAAGAGTTGCCCTCTGACCTCTGTGTGTACACCCCCACACACAATAAATCGAGCAACACTAATGACATCACGCAGTGTTAGCTCTTAAGTGCGAAGACCTCTGGAGATGGCACCATCAGCCATCAGGTCTGCTACTGTGTCTATCCATTTCCTGCTTTTAGCTGGGGTGAACTAGGTTCCTTTTCCTGAAGATGAGAACTATCTAGTGTGATACCTTGGGTATTAAAGAAAATTGTTGGTGAGCTGTCGCTTCTGTCCTTCTGTTTTGGGCATTGCAAGAGCTCAGGTGTCGGTCTCTCCCTGAATCAGCGACCATACCCATTTGCCCAAGTTAGCGTCTGTGCTCACCACACAGGCTTCTGGGCTAATGGTCATTCTGAATGGTGTCGCTCACCTTGAACGAAAGCCGGGAGAACAGAAGGGCCAAATGCACAAGAGTCATGTGTCAGCCCTTCGTGAGAGCTGGCAGACCTACAATCCAGGGACACTGTCACAGCCAGCAGGGTCCACAGAGTGTCCTTTAAGCCAGGAGGACCCGATTCCAGAGCAAGTTATATAGAAGGGAGGGAAATGTAAGGACCAGCTCCCTTGCTGGTGCTGAGTGCTTCGGAGGTACTAGATCCCTCTGACTGTTTCCAGCGTCCTCAGGCCGTCTGCCTCCCTCCCACCTGAACCCAGAGCCTCAAGCGTGCCAAGCATGCGCCCTCACATTGCCCTCTATGCCCTCGGCCCCTCTTATTTTTGCAGACTCTTTGCTTTCTTTTGGAGGAACACCCTTCTTCACCTGACATGAAGCACTAGCTGCCTCTCTGTACCTCTCAGCTGGACTTAGGCTCAGGTACTCACCCAGGATGCTTGTAATGGCTCTGCAGCCACCAGTCTCTCTGGGCCCTGCCCTTCCCTTCCCGTCTGTCCTTGCCGCCGATGTGCAGTGCTCAGCAGCAGTGCTCAGCTTTGTGGGGCACTGCGTCCCATGCAGTTTCTCAGGATCCTGTAAAACATTTGGGAGGCAGCCCCTGCTCTAATCCCCACCCCTTTGACAGTATGAGAGTGCAAGCATCTGACTTGCCATCGCCTGCGCTCAGCGAGGCCTGGGGTGGCAAATCGTGTGCGGAAATCAAGTCTGACGCAGTGAGTTTGGCATGGGACTCCAGCTGTGGGGATTGCTCTCTAAGCAGGAGTATGGCAGGTAGAACAGTTGTCCGCAAGAGCTCAGTGAGGGAATCCCAGATGGATGGTGAGGCGGCCAGGCCCTCCTAGTCCCCCAAGACCAAGGGCAGGTGCCTCTTTTTCCCAGCAGCCCTTGAAGCTCATTGGCAATGAGGACTAGCCAAGTCTGAGTCTTGGGAAGTTTGCTCTGACAGAGATGGAGGGGGGGGGGTTATGGCTCCACCAGGGGACAGCCGTGGTCACTGGTCAAGGGATTGGGGGTGGAAAGAAATAAAATAACTAGAATAATCACTTCAGATGCTTCCTGGTATTATTACTGGCACATACGTACATAGTAAACGCTCAATAAATATCCTCTGACATTTGCAATGTAACTGCTGACTTTAGGGCAGTTTTTAACCTTCCTGTTGCTGCAACCCTTTAATGCAGTTCCTCATATTGTGGTGACCCCAACCGTAAAATTGTTTTTATTGTTACTTCATAACTGTGACTCTGCTACTGTTATGAATCGTAATGTAAATATACTGCTATGTGACCCCTGTGAAAGGGTTGTCATGACCCACAGGTTGAGAACCATTGGTGAGGATGATGGTTTTGACTTTAGCATAGATGTGCTGAGGTAGACCCGAGCACTGTGGAGGGGCAGCCTGCATGGTGGTGTAACCGTGCTGCATGTGCCTCTGTGAGCCCCATCTTGCTCTCCCTGGCTGTACAAGGGAGGCTCATACATTTGTCAATTACAGGATATTATTTTCACTCTGGAAGGCTTGTATGGTTTGACATCTGTGCCTGTGGTTTCTTCTCTTGCCTCCAGAATCTCCTCTTCCTCTACCCCAGCACTCTTGAGTCCTGAACTGAACCCCAAACAAACCCTGGGTATTTCTGAGTAGCCCCTCCCCCCACCACCTAGGGTGCTGAGTAGGACCATGTCCTTCAGGCCTTTCAGCGAAGCAGAAACAGCTGGCGGTAACGAGAGAACAGCCGCAGCCCTGCCCTCCCGTGGCTGGTGGCCCTGCAGTGTTGAGTATCGGTCAGTGATAACTTCTGCAAACTTGGTAATTCAGCAGTCTCTCCTTGGCTGCAGATGAGAGCAGCCCCCGCAGGCAGGAATGAGTCATGTAACAGCAAAGACGATTTTTACCAATAATAAACATCTTTCTGCCATTCCAGAGACAAACATTGGCGGTCATGTCACTGGGGCCTGTCCAAAACAAGCCTAGTGTTCGTGTCTGGAGCTTAGATGCCTTCCCTTGATGCTGCTTTCCCCTTGTTCAGAAACACAAGATTTCTCAATAGCAGCCTGAATATCAGCCTTGAGAGTGTGAAGCGTTTTCCTTCTCAAGACTCCTGGCTCACCTCTGCCCTTCTGGGTTCTGTTTCCTCATCTGGGCGTAATGAGTCAGCAACGATGATGGTCTCTGTGTACCCTTCCTCTGCTCCCACTGTCAGGGAGCTGCTTTTGAGGGGCTTTGCAAACATGCTGTGTAGCAGCAAGCTTAGCTGACTTCGTGGACAGCAGAGCCACACTCTAAGGGACCCCATGGTGAACTGTAAGGGAATTTCAAAGTTAAACAGTTGCGTGCTTCATGGATGAGCCTCAGCAGGAAGTCTGCCTGGGAGCGGGAGGCACCCAGGCCGTTGATGGTTTCTTTCCTACCCATCCTCGAGAGCTCGTGCGTGAGTGCTGTGCTGTTGTGTGGTCAGAGACAACTTGGAAAAGCAGGTCTCTCCTTCCATTGTGGGTCCCCAGGACCCAGGGCAGGTGTTTAGGCTTGTGTGACAACTCTGACCTGCTGAGCCAGGTCTGCTAGCCCCGAGGTCTGTTTCTTAAGGCAAGCAAGTCCTGCTCCGTGTGGCCAGTCTCAGAGTTCCTGTTTGCAGGTGTGCTAGTATTGTTTGGCATGGGGCCATAGTCTCCCAGGTGTCAAGATTGCCACCCATAGTGGCATCATCTCCTTTACTCTTCTGAGCTTTCTTGGGGTTGAATTTTTGTTCAGTTTGAAAAAGCTGGGGCTGGTGATCCCTTCCTCTGCCTAGATCAGACTGGAGCCTTGACAGTCTGCTGTAGTTATGCCCACAGACTGCAGTGGTGTGTTGGACATAGGGTTCCTACTAAGAGGGGGGTGCTTTAAGCTTTCTGACCACAATAAAACAGGAAACAGCTGGGTGTGGCACGATCGGAATTCCAGACTGAGGGCATGCGGTTCACAAGTTGCAGGTCAGCTCGGGCTGCAGAGCCAGACCTTGTCTTACAGGGTAAACAGAAGATCTCAGGAGTGAAACTCAGATAGAGCCTTTGCCTAGTGTAGTGAGGCCCTGGGCTTACAGCTGCTTATAACTCTAGTTCCAGGGAAACCGTTGCCCTCTGACCTCCTCTGGTAGGCATACATATGGTGCACATACATACATACATACATACATACATACATACATACATACATACAGGCAGGCAAAAACACTTATGCACATAAGCATAGATCTCCTTAAAAAAATAAAAGGAAAAATATTTTTTAAAAAAGAGGGAAGAAGGGGCAGCTGTCATAAAACCTTTTCCTCCTAAATGAAATGCTTGAAGTTAAACTGGTTCAGAGTGTGAGCCAAGATACTGGAGCTAGCTGCACTGCCTTGTTCCAGAGGGAGTTGGTTCCCCCTGTCTGGGCGGGGGGTGCTGCAGCAGTGGAGGTGGGCGTGTCCTTGGAGGGCAAGTGGAAGAGAAACTGCATCCCCTTCCTCTTGTCCTGCTCCTCTTCCCCTGCCGCTTGCATGGGGCAGCAGTCTGGTGAAGGACCTGGTAGAGGGCAAAAGTCTCATTGGAATCTCATGGGATTGAGCTTTGACAGACCTTGTGGCTCGAGTAGGTTCCCCAGCCTCGCTTCCTCTGGCTCACTGGATTTTAAGTGTCTCCTGGGGTGGGCCAGAGCTGGTGTCTCTTTGAAGACTTATGTTTGGGACTCCTCAGGTAGATGGTGTGCCAGGAGCTGCACCAGAGTGCCCTTCTGCCCCCAGTCTTCATGGGCCCTGAGATTCAGTGGTGGCACCCCTGCTGTGTGCCCGAGGGGAGGAAGTGAGTTAAGTAACTTCAGCCCTGCCCTGGTCTCGCGATGGCCTGGCCTAAAGGCCCAGTCACAGAACTATTTGCTCTCTAAGTCTTAAAAAACAGTGTTCTGCTTGTGTATTGTAGAGAAGTTAGAAACTTAGCAAAGCAGATAGGCCGTGCCTCATCCCACAACTTGGACAAGACGCCTAGGGTGTTTCTTTGATCTTTTACTTTTTATCTTGGTGGTTGTATATGTAGATGTTTTTAATAAAGAATACTGTTATGAACAGTAGTCAGAGTAGTTAGCATTGTGTTTCTGGGCTCAGATTCCATTCCAGCCCCACCATATACTAGCTGCATGGTTTGGTGAGTTTTAACATCTCTGCCTTGGTCCCCTCGCCTGTGAAATGGGAGTGATGCTGGGGGATATTTTATAAATATTGCTCGGGCTGAATGAGCTCACCCATGAAGTACCTACAGTACACCTGGCCTGCTAAAAATGCAGCCTGTAACTCTCCCTATGCAATGGCACCGTCATGTGTTTATATTATGCTTTTTTAGAAAGTGAGTCCACACGTAACTCACATGTGGAGGTCAGAGGGCAGTTTGTAGAAGTTGACTCTTCTACCCTGTAGGTCCTGGGGACCCCACTCATGTCAGTCAGGCTTAGCAGCATGTGGCCTTGTCCCTCAAGCCATCTCAGGGCTCAACAGTACTTTCCTTATGAGTCCAGTTTTTCTCTTTGTACTGTGTGTTGTGTGGACAGTCAGAGGTTCACCCTGAGGCCTGCTTCTCCTGCCTGAGCACACTGGCATATGACGTAGAGGCATCTTTAGTCTGAGACCGGCACGAAGGGTCCTGTCACCATTTCTCAGCCCCAGTCCTAGTGCCTCCTTTTGCTGGCTGTCATCAGAATGTCCAAGAGGTTCCACTTTGTTCTTGTAGCCCTCAGGGTTCCAACTGTGGAGTGCGACCTTTTAGCCTTGCTCAGTGACACACAAGTATGGTTTGTTCGTGTCAGCCTCCCAGAGACTCCAAGGTCAGGCAATTCTGTGGCCACACAGCCCTGGGGCTTCATCTGCAAA